GGGGCCGAGGGAAAGGGAGCAGACTCCCCGCTGAGCAGGAACCCGATGCGGGACTCAATCCCAGGACCCTGAGATCTTGACCTGAGCTGAAGGCAGACGCTTAACTGACAACCACCTAGGTGCCCCTCCCCAAAATAAAATCTTTTTAAAAAAGTGTTCAAACCTTTTCCCTATTTTTTATTTTTCTTAAAGATTTTATTTAACAGAGAGACACACAGCGAGAGAGGGAACACAAGCAGGGGGAGTGGGAGAGGGAGAAGCAGGCTCCCCGCTGAGCAGGGAGCCTGATGTGGGGCTCGATCCCAGGACCCCGGGATCATGACCTGAGCCGAAGGCAGATGCTTAACGACTGAGACACCCAGGCGCCCCTTCCCTATTTTTTAGTGAATAGTCTTGCCTTACTGAGTTTTAAGGGTTCTTTCTATACTCTGGATGGAAAGTCTTTGTTAGATATATACTGTGGATGTATTATCCTAGTCTGGAGTTTGCATTTTCCTTTTATCAAGCCTTAAAGTTTTCATTTTGATGAAGTACAGTTTATCAATATTTTTGAGCCATGCTTTTTTGTGTTCTAAGAAATTGTTGCCTAATCCAGAGAACCAGATTTTTATATTTTCTCTTGGAAGTTTTATAGTTTTGATGTTCAGATCTATGGTTTGAGTTAATTATTGTATATGATGTGAGGGAAGGGTTAAAAGTCTTTTCCCCTAGATATTCAGTTCCAGCACCATTAGCTGACTAACTGTACTTTTCCAGTTGAATTAACTTGGCACTTTTGTCGAAAATCAACTACCCATATATGTGTGGGTCTATTTCTGGACTTTTTATTTTTATTCTATTTTTTTAAAAAGATTTATTTATTTGAGAGAGAGAGCATGAGCAGGGGGAGCAGCAGAGGGAGAGGGAGAAGCAAGCTCCCCACGGAGCAGGGAGCCCGATGTGGGGCTCGATCCCAGGACCCTGAGATCATGACCTGAGCCGAAGGCAGACGCTTAACGCCTGAGCCACCCAGGTGCCCCATTATTCTAGTATGTTAACATACAGTGTTATATTTGTTTCAGTGATTCAACAATTGTGTACATTTCTCGGAAATATGGAATGCTTCGTGAATTTGTGTTTCATCCTCGCGCAGGGGCCATGCCTCTCTTCCCCGTATCACTCCAATTTTAGTGTAAGTGCTGCTGAAGCGAACACTATCTCTGGACTTTCTGTGGTGTCTTATTTGTTCTCTCTGACCATTCTAATGCCAAATGCAGTCTTGGTTACTATAGCTCTGTAAAAAGCTTTGAAATCAGGTAGTACTTCTTTTTCAGAATGGTTTTGGCTAGTCTAGGTCCTTTGCATGTCCATATACATTTTACCAACTTGCCAATGTCTACCAAAAGAGCACACTAGGGATCTTTTTCAATGCTTGCAAACCTTCCTTAGTTTTCCCCAATGTGTAAGATCACTGCTCACCCCTGATAGCCCAGCGCAGCAAACTTCTGCCCCCTCCTCGCCAGCCCACTTTGTCATCCTTCCCTTTGCTCCTGGAGCATCGGATCCTCTGTGCCTTAGAAAAGTCTTCTCTGTCACCTCTAAACCACATACTGGTTAC